TAATCTTGCCCAACCCAAAATGCGACCCTGTCGTTCGAATAGTGCGAACGGACAGTTGACCATGTCTTTAACTGAAGGAGCAGGAACGACGAGCGTGATTGTATGGGTACTGAGGCGGTCACTGGGCTTCTTCGTAAAAGAAGCGCTGGACTTGAAGGATACGGCGACCAAGAGAAATCCTAAAAAGGGCGAGACATGGAGAAGGAGCTTCCTGGAGAGAAGGCAACAGCTAAAAATGCATTGGGCAGGAGACGACGACACGTAGCAAAAAAGGACCCGTGTGATGGCGCGAGACTGAATTAGAGAGAAAAGACAGGAAAAGGAAAACACAACCAAAGATCGACTTGCCTTGGATGTCGTCGTTAAATGTGCAGTACTCGTCCTTATATCGATTGAGCAATTTGTAAGCATTTTGGAAAGCAAAATCCTCGAACTGGATGAGCGTATCACGGCCAAATCTTAAATATATGTTTGACTGCCATCCAAATTTAATAGGACGTTTCGTACCTCTTGGTTACTGCTTTCATAAAATTGTCGATGAGGCGATCGTATTGTTCACCACGAACTCTCTCATGTCGGAGACCAATGTACAGAGGATCGGCCAGCAGTTTCTGCAGCGAAACCAATTTTGACCTGTTTCAATCAAGCTTTCTATGGAGTGATCCTTGCAATACTGAGATGTTAAAAAGGTCCTGCCAAAAATTTCTTTATGTCCTGAAGCTTCCCGATTTGAGCGAAGATAACGTAGTGAAAGCTGACCCTCCTAACCATCGTCAAGGACTGGTAGTGAAATTTCGGCTCGAATCACGCAGACCAACGGAGATTCCCATAACTTCTAGTTCGATTAGTTGTATATAGAGTTGCCCAGGAGATTGAGAACACCAAGATCCTAAAGCCTGATTCCACGATAACATCCGAAGACGAAGAAGTGATTGCTTGGTCTGGAGGGAAAATTGCTCAATGGGGAGAAAGGCGGACCACCTGAAAGTGACCTGACACGCAATTGGCAGCGAAAGATTTGACCTCGGCGATCTAGCATGGCTCACTCTTGGCGCGGTTGGCGGGGTACGCCCACCGACTATCTAATCACTCGCCGCAGGTCTATACGTGGCGAGTGATTAGATAGCAGAGAGAGAGCGTAGTGTTGAAGAGGGCACAGCGATGAGAGTCGCATCAATGCGCAAATCAACGGGCAAGGAAGGGGTCCCATTTCTCGGGTTCTGGGCCGGTTTTTCCTTCTTTCGTGTACCACTCACCATCCCTAGGTTAATTTGAAATGGGTTGCTTTTTCATCGTAAGTTCTGCCTTTACGCGACATTCATCTACAAGTCACCGCACTCAAATTCGACTACCTTTCTGAATGAAGCTGAATGAGTGCCGAATCAGATTGGAATTGATCGACGCTGAATGTTCTCTCTTTAGTTCCCCGAATTTCTTGGAAGATTGTGTTCCTATGCTGAAGCACCTTCTCACAGAGGTTGTTCGCTTTGAGTCGTCCTGCTGAGAAACAGAGGAACCGTGATCTGGCCTCCCAACGAGTGCCCCCATCTTCTCCAAACCTGTGGCAACACTCACTGGAGGATTACCTCATACCCGCGGTTTCATATTTGAATTGCATGGCTCGCATCCTGCTATCTTTTACAGGACAGCAAGGGGTGGATAATGTGAGACCTATATGTAAACGCATGCGCCGAAAGCCCACTAAAAAAAGCATGATAGGATACGGATAAGGGATTCCTTGTGAGCACTGGATCATTTCAAGGCGGAGAAACAAGGGAAAAAGAACGAGGGAAGCAGACGTCAAAGGAACGGGTGATCATGGAGACTAGCGTGAAGCAGGCACTAATGCATCTGATCATAACTCCTCCTACAGCGGATCTTGACCCTATGCTTATGAGCTAACCCTCTGATGCTCTGACCACATACATTTGGAGCAGCTATTTCAGCGCAGCTTCTGCGGAAATAGCAGGAACACTGACTGAATAGGGAATCGCCCAGTGAAACGACGCCACTATCATGGAAAGCTCAATATCAGTACTATAGTTCGTTACTTTGTCCAATCTCATTTTTTGCTATTATACTCGTGTCTTACAGCTTGAGACGCCTAGTTTGCCCTCCACTACCCTTACAATTCTACGAAGGCCGCCTTCATCACCGTAGCTCATTTCACATTGATTTAAAACAAAATACCATGACCTAGAAAAAAGAATTGGAAATGTTACCTTATTATTAGTGCCAACATCTATGACAACCGGCAGACAAAATTGCGGTTGAATTCCACCCAAAGCGACATACAGACCTAGTTTACCAACTGGGATTCCCATGCCACACGCACCAAGATCACCAAGACCGAGAATTCTTTCACCATCAGTGACCACTATTGCCTGAAAAATATTGAATCCGACGTCACCTAAACTAAAATGTTATTTATGAAAAAAAAACAGTTAACTGCACGGAAAATATTCTAGAACCATTAAAAAATATTAAATGAATAATGACAGCAAGAAGCAGGGCCGTATCTGAGATTTCCAGAGGATTTTAGAAATGAGGGCTGGGAAGGATCGTGTAGCGACGATAAGGAGGGGGTGCCGTTTGACAAGGTTTTTGACATTTTTGAACACAAATTCAGAAACGTTGGGCAAAGAACAAAGTTAGAGAGTCGTCGTTTTTTGGACATGTTTGCCCTCCTTCCCCGCCAAGGTGCTGGACCTTGTCGATTTGTCTCATTGTCAGTATCAAGCACAATAAAGTTTCAATTAGTTCGTCCATTTGCTAGATCCAACACCAGAGCAAATTTTTTTCTCTTCGCGCTTCTAGTGAATTTGGTAAGCTCACCAAAAAATTCGCCATGCCCAGCAGTTTATCGCACTTAAAAAAATATTTACAAAATTCTATACTTGAGGGCTTCAAATTTCTCATATTCAAATCTGATTTTTAGAGGATGGACAACTCATATTCACTAGTAAAATTTTGTTGTTCTACTTCATTTTCTTATGATGTCTTTTTCTAGTTGTGTTGTTACGTCAAAACACCTATACTTGTGCACTCCCAGCATGGTCTTATTAAGATTGAAATATGTAACGCATGCATTTATTTACTATTTATTTTTTATTTGTTTATTTATTTACTATTTTACTTTATTTATATTTGATATTTATAGGTTACTCTTCTTCCATAAAGCACCAAACAAATGTGCCGCAACCGCTTACTGAGTACAATCAGTCAACCACAACTGCTGTTAGGTGTATGTGTAAGCTGGTGCCGTTAATTCACGCAGAAGAAAAACAATCAATGTTGTCACAAAGGTCTGTGCGTTGCAATGAGCAGTTATGTTGAGACGATTCATAGCACTTAAATTACACATTTACATACACTCATTCGTTTTTCAAATTAAATTTTCAATTGGTAAATAATAAATAATAATATATAATTTATGATTTAAATAATTTCAATTCAATATTATAAATATAAATTCATAAAATAAATTAATCACACTAACGCAAATTTGCCTCTTTGAAGTACTGTTACAATATCAGAGTCTATAGAAAAAGTTTTGAAGGAAATTCGTAAAATTGATTTTGTTGGCCCATCTCATCCCAAATGTAGTGCGGGTTTCC